CGACGATAAAGCGTTACGAAGACAAAGCGTTACGACGATCCGATGATCTATCTTTGTGGGGATCAAGAATTATGTTACGGTCCTCGGCAATGATCAGATTTGCGTTTAGAAAATTCAGGCCGCGAGCCAAATGCGAAAGGCTGCGCCATCAATACTAGGCCTAGAGATGTTTAGCAGCATTACAAATACCATCTAACTATGAGACAGTATTTGTTTGAGGCGCTCGCTGTACAAATGTGTGCAAAGAGGATGCTTTTCTTAATACCTCGGGCTTTGCTAGAGAATGCCGACTGGAATATTTGATTTGCAGAGCTGCAGTGCAACCGATTTCTCTCGGATGGTCTAATGAGCATTTTTTGAAGGAATAAGAGGTTGGCGGACAGAGATTTCAAATGTGCAAACACTTCTGTACCTAAGTGAATGGCTGAGGCAGTAGATATTGCAGCTCTCTAATCTAACAGTGTCCCTCAGAACCAACCCCATACGAATGTGCAGTTTAAATATTCATGCTTTGAATAAAACAAGAGTTTTAAATGATGCAAGCAAAAAAAAAATTAATCCAAGCACTGAGAAATTACTGGTAACACTTTACCTGACGGGGCACAAAAATGTAGTATTATGCAATTACTTATATATTAATTAACCACAAACAAGTCTTAGTTACATACTGATCTCATGATTGTTCATCGTTAATGAATGGTGATGCATCTTTTATCCGAAGCAGTTATTCTATTCGTTACTATATCTGTTAATTCTGTAAATCTTTGTGAACTACTGAAGGAACAAGTCATGAATAACACAAGTGAAATACTGATCTCATGTTTGTTCATTAATGAATCATGACGCATCTTTTATCTGAAGAAGCTGCTGTATTTGCTCACGATTTGTACTTTGGTAGTAATTGAATTGTTTGTAAGTATGTGTCCAGTCAAGTAAAGTGTTACCCAGAAAGACATTTTGAAGATGATGCATTTTTTTAGTAACTTTCTCGTTTTGCCTGCGGTTAACTGTTAGACGTGATTTGACATGAAAAGCCCAAAGGGTGAGAAACTCACGTAGCGTAGCCAAAAACAATGTTAGCCGTCACCTTCAGGGGCCCCGGTTGTGGAATGACGTCATCGTTCAGGTTTCTAGGGCAACAGTTCATATGGGACAAACTAAGCCAAAAACCATGCAGCAGATTAAAAAAAAAAAAAAAAAAAAGTTAGCTTGGCTTTATGCGGATATAAAACCACTAAAATACCTTGTTGTTAAGTGTTTCAAGTGTGTAAGTAATGGTGATTCATTGATAGGTGCGGAGTTTCCGAATAACCGAGAAAGCAAACTACTCTGGGCAGGTCTGAGCCAGTTCCCAGCGAGTGCTGCAGTAATGAACTGCTGCCAGGTGAATCTTCACGGAGGGGAAGCAGGGCCTGCCGTAAAAGCGTCTTATTTAATACTAAATACCCTCAATACATAAGCAAAAAAATCTGTTCTTTTTTCCATCAGTAAAAACAAGATAGATGTGCTATTCCTCTATTTTAAGACTGATTTGCTACTTGGGTTGAATGAATTTCAAGTAAAGAAATATTAAGGTTAATACATACAAATTACTTAAAGGACCTTAATGTGTTCAAATGCCGTGGTAGTCTGTCCTTACCACTATATGAACAAATTCTAATGTGAACAAACAGGGATTGCTGTGCAACACTGAATCACCCTGGCAACCATTTTATAGTCTATCTACCTTTTTTGTTAAATAACTCTTTGTTGTTTTGTCTGGCTACTGTCATCAGATCTACCTTCAAAGTTTAAAGTTATACTTTCAGCTTATTAGTTTCCATAAAACAGGGTGGTCAACTTTGGTCTGCTGGCTGGTGTGAGGTTTTCAACTGGAGACAAGTCTGTCCATGCATTTAAATGCATGTAATGGTTTTATTACCTTGTAATGATGACATCGATGATGATGAATTGAATCACAGTTTGAATTTAAATCAGGAAATACTTAAAAGCCAGTGATTGGATCATTATTACAGCTCAGCAACATTATGAACCAATAAAGTGAAGTCAGCTGACTTCCTGAAACTACAGGATGGCCAGGTTACACCCCCATCCATCGTCAATACAAATCTGGATGAAAATGATTTGTTGAGATGTTGCACATGCTTGTGGAAACAATCCCATGACAGATGTGAAAAAGACAGTGGTGGGTTACTAACATTAATGAACAGAGCAGAGTATAATGTAAGTGGTAATTCTGTATAGGCCTGTGTCTGGGCTGTCTAAGGGCCCGGTATGTGTAAATAACGAATGTGTCATAAATTTTCCAATAGATAACTTCAAAGCATTAAAGCTGCGAATGATAGTGTCTCTCTCATACGAATGGATTTTGAATTTCAGTGGTGGGGTTTCCGTTTTAGTTAGCCTGTATTTTGATAAAACAGCACAGACTATTTCAGTGAGTGTCTGTCTGTGTGTGTGTGTGTGTGTGTTATAGCACGTCAGCGGCATGTGCAGAGTCAAGAAATGTGTGTGTCTGGGTGGGGTGGAGATTATATCGTCTCCAAGCACGAGCAGGACACAAGGCAGGCCTGGCCGTAGCAGTAGTCGTTAGCCACCTGTAACACTGAAATACTGCACTGCACTGTGGTGCTCGATCTTCTTGAGGCAGTGAAGCAAGAAACCCAGGGGGCAGGCAAGGTCAGCCAGCATGGCCAGCATGGAAATCTATGTGGCTACAACATAGGTGAATGAGACAGACATTCTCAAAGTTTATGTGGTTCGATTACTAAAATTTACTTTGTAGTAAATTACTTTGGAGTGGCACATATATCAGTCCAATGTATAACTCATGCCACTATTTTCAAAGTCAGTGGCTGACACAATGAATATTGATGAGATAGGTGTCCCCACACCTGTAGTAGTTTGCATGCTGTCAATGGCCCATCAGTCTGGAATGTCACTGCACCCCACACCCATCACTTTGGAAAGGAAGTTTGAAATGCAAGAAAAGCAACAACAAAATCCTTTTTTAAATGGGATTTAAAATATAAATGGACAACACAAAATAAGTAAATTAAGTAAATCACAAAATAAGTGGGTGCACGAATAAAGCAACAGAACACTAACTAAATTAACACAACTAATTTTTAGTCCTGATCCGTATGCCAAGCCTCGAAACAGTTTCTGTTCGGTTGAAGGCAAAGGTGGACATCACATGCTTTGCACTTCCATGGGGTTTTTGTTTTGTTCCCACCATGCATCCTGCAATTCACACAAGTCTTTCGCCCAGAGGTAGCCTTCATCCTGCTGTCAGAGCTCAGCTCAGCCCCAGGAACTGGCACATGAACACTACTGGTCATCTTGGTGGGGACATTCTGTGTCACACCACACAGCTGTGCGGTGAGCTCCTCCATGAACGCCTTGTGGGTCATGCCGTCCTGTTGCATGTGTTCTTTGTGGAGAATGTAGGCATTGGTCGCGGAAATGTCCAAGAAGTGAAGAAAGAGTTTCATGTACCACTTCATTCTCTTGCGCTGTGTCGTGTAGTACTGGATCAGCTGGTCCGACAAATCCACACCTCCCATGTACTTGTTGTACTCCATCACCGGTGAGGGGCACGGAAAGGACTCGGTGGTCCAGACGCCCTCCCTGGACTTCACTTTCCTCTGTACTACATCCCCAGCATAGGCAGTATGGATGGTGGAGCAGATGGACACCTCCCTCGTGTCCTTCCACTTCACAAAGAGAAGAGGGCCGTCCCTCATCCAGCGGTACGTCCCTCGAGGTGACTCCTTTGTCAGTGCGTTGACGGCACTTCGTGGACAGTCCTTCCTGTTCTCTCTATACGTTCCACAAGCAGGAAACTTGCGCGCAAACAAGTCCTTGAAAAGCTTTGGACTTGTGTAGAAGTTGTCCATGTATACATGGTACCCAGACCCCAAAAACCTTTTATTGATCAGTGACATGACAGAGTCATAAGAGAGTCCCTGGCCAGTGGGGAAGATGTTCTTTCCAGTGTACACTGCAAAGTCCACAGTGTATCCATTGCTGGAATCTGCAAGCACAAACAACTTGAAACCCCACTTGGTTGGTTTGTTCTTCATGTACTGTGTCATGCTAGTATGTCCCTTGCAAGGCACCATCCGTTCATCCACAGAAAGACTCCTGCGGGGATGATAGAATGCCATACAGGCATTCTGAATGGTGTACATGAGGGGTTTGATCTGGAACAGTTTGTCGTGATCTGAGGTCCCCTTCTTGGCATAATTCAGTCTGTCCTCATCTGGGTCGCTCAAGTGAACATTCCAGGATATTGTCTGGTACCTGTCCCTCGACATCACCTTTAACAGGAACAAAATGGGAAACAAGTTTATAATCTGACATCAAAGTACAGACATTGCAAAATGCAGTTTGGAACACTTGCAGAAACATTATGAAAGTACATAGTAAGCAATGCTGGCAGTTTGTTTTGATCCCAGATATCTGATCACCAAAGTCTTGGATACATGAAGATGACTAAATGGTGTCGTTGCAACATTCAGTTGGATAAATAAATAAGAAAAACCCCTTTTATGCTGCTGATCGGGATGTATCTGGATCGCGTTCCACCATTGTGTTGTTCATCTAATTACCATGCGAATGCGATTTGAATACGCGCTAATGCAGCTATTTAGAATGTGAATAGCGATCTTCGGGTGAGAGCGGTACTACACGCCCCCGATGCAGGTAAAACAAAATAAGGTGACACGGTATATTTTTTGTCAATTTAACCTAATTTAAAAAAAAATTAACACTTCCGACAATGGACTATTTTAAAAAGAAGACAGAGTACAGCATTTTTTTCATGATTCTACATAAAGATTTAAGCAAGACTTAAACTGAAATAGAATGTAATGGAATATCACAAAATAAGACAGTAAATGAAATTAAGTAACAATACAAAATAACTAAATAACGTGTGAACTTGCCTGTGCCGGGAAAATGACGGAAAAGATGTTGTTTCTCCGCCAGTAGTCTCTTACATGATCCAACTTCATCATGGCCATGTAGAATATCAGTCCAATGTATTTGTAAAATTCATGGACTCCAACATCCACCCATTTGTACTTTGCCCCTCTTGCGCGATTCCTGGCAGCCTGTTTGTTGGTGTTCTGGCAGAGGGTTTTCACGGCTTCCTCCGAAAAGAACAACTTGAAGAGGCTCGCGGGAGTGTAACTGTCGCGTCTGTTTAGCTGCACGCCCGGCTCCCTCGCAGGAAGGAACCTCAGCGGCGATGGAGCCACGTCACCATCGCCTTCTCCCTTCCATGACAGCGTCTGAACTAGTTCATGCTGTGGTTTCTTGGTTACAGACGGAATGTACTCCGTGTCTCTGTAAAATAAAAACATGAAAAAGAAAAAAAAAAAAGAAAAAAAAAAAAACTGAGCAGTGCCTACGCAGAGTTCACAGAAATAAAATAATTCACTATTATTAAAATGATTCACAAAGCGAATTTTACTTACTCATCACAATTGTCTTCCACGGTATCGATTCGCTGCTCAAAGTGGCGAAGTTCTTCCTCGCTGTCCTCACTGCTTTCATCCGAGGAGAAGTTGTCATTTTCGTCGCTCTCCAGTGCAAGGCTTTCCTGAACCCGGCGCAAAGCTACAGCAGCAGAGCAGTACGCTTGTGTCACGTTGTAGCCGATCAGTGTGAACACCACCCAGACATGTGCCCTTGTTTATATGAGTCACAATGGGAGAGTTCACACATTTCTTTACACAATACTAACTGTCGGATTATCATGTCGTTATCATGCGAATAGTGCGACTTGCAAGTGGGCTGGCGGTCACAGCTGCTTCGAGACGCAGACGCTTAAGTCAGTCACTGTTGTTCTTTTGATTTTTTATTATTATTTTTTTAAAAGTACACCGTGCAAGGTTTCTGAGGGTGTTTTTTTTAAATGTTTATATGACAAAAACTTATTTAAACAGTTTAGCAAAATTTCTCAGATCCCGCCAGTGGGACAGCCGACTCCAGAGAGTTAACTAAAGTAACTTCCTCATCAACCTTTCTTCAAATCTGCTGTTTGTTTTCAGTCTGATCAGAGAGTGTACAAAAAGAAGATTATAAAGGACCTTTGTTCCTATCTCCTTCCTGACCTTCTGCTACTTTTCTCTTGGCCAATGAACGATCATGGGGCGTTTGCACGACTGGACAGACAGTCCGTGTCATTTCAACTTGTACGGTTTGTGCCCGGACTGTGACGAAAATTACACCACTACTGTCAAGTGTTTTTGGTGGCACGTCCACGTCAAGTAAGAACCAGCCTTAAGGCTAATTCAAACTTGACTGCGGGCTGC